TGTAGTATATATAGTACACAATGGACTTTCATTAGGCTATAGTGGAGAACCGAATTATGTTATTTGCAGGAAAATGGATGTAACTAGACATCATGTTAAGCAGAATAAGCCAGATTTAGGCAAACAGTATAGGTTCTTTCTTGTATGTGGGATCTAGTTTGTTGTTGTTGTTTTTTTCAGACATGAAAGTAGAAAGTGGGGGGCTGGAGAGATGGTTTAGAAGTTAAGAGCACTGACTGCTCTTCCAGAACAGTTTGTTAAGAACTCTTAACAAACTCTGGTTTCTATACACTGTCATCAAGGAAGATATAAAGTAGACACCTTATTTCCATAATTAAAGTTTTAAATGCTGACTGGTCATTTATAGTTCAGTTACATTTTCAGAGAATTTTCTCATTGATTTTTGGAAAAGAGAAATTCCAAACTTGTCTATTCAATGACATTTGGGGCAACACATTAGCATGTGAATATCTAGCTTTTAAAAATAGATCTTCTCATCTGAATAAAAGCATGCACAAGGATTGTACAAATTCAAGCCAGACAAAAAGGAGGTGAGAGATGCACTAAGAGAGGAGGTGGACTCAGTCCCAAAGAAAATCCATTTTTCTCTGCCAGTGTGGGGCTGGGTAGATTAAGCAAACTCCTTGGGCAGGCCTCATGCTCAGGAGTAGTTGATTAACATAAATCAGACTACATGGTTTTTGTTTGTGTGTGTGTATGTGTTTATGTGTATGCTTTTTTGGTTTTTTATTTTCTGTCTTTTGGGGTTTTCTTTTCCTTTTTTGTTTTTGAGAGAGAAAGGGATGGAAAAGGGGAGGTAGCAAGAACATGAATGGGTAGGGAGATTGGGAGGATCTGGGAGGACTTGGGAGAGAGGAAAGAATATGATCAAAATATATTGTGTGAAAAATGAAAAAAAGAGAAATCTGAAAGAAGGCAAGGATTCAATCTGTCATGTACCTTCGGAGCAAAGAGGAAAATGTCAGTGGGTGGTGCTCACTTACAGATATTTTTCTAGGAGCCTCAATACTTTACCACTGCCCATGAAACAATTCTGTTCTAATTTTCGGTTAAGAATTTCTTTACCTACAGCTATTCTCATAGCTGAGAATAGATATACCATGACCTTCATTCCAGACCACAGCAATAAAGTAAGTCATATAATTTGTACTTTTTTGTTCCTTACTTGCATTCATAATATGCTGCAGTTTCTATGAAGTGTGCAGTCGCATAATACTCCTCCCTAAACAATACACATAGCTCATGATCATCTGAAAATTTCAGAAGCTACAATCTCTTCACTGGTGGAAGAGCTTGCCTCAGTTGATGCCTGCCATTTATCTGAGTGCTGCATACTTAAGACTGGGTGGGAGGTGATAGCAACTTTTAAAAGACACATGAAATCTGTGATGACTGATTCTTCACACAAAAGTCTCTGGAGCATGTAATGCTGTTTGACAGCATTCCTGTTCTTTTGTCTTGGGGAAACAAGGTCTCACTGGGTAGCCAACAAAGGTCTCAAACTCACATACTTTATTATCAGCCTCCCAAGTGCACTAACACAAGCACGCTACCACAGCTGGCAATTATTATGACAGCACTTAATTTGTAGAGTTTTTCAAATTAGTTAATCCTCCCAAAGACTGCCTCTGTTTTATTTTTCATTCATTTCAGTCATGTTTATTAATTGTATGAACCATATGTTTTGTTAATGCATTCTCACGTATGTGGATGGTATTTCACTAGATCATATTCTCCCATATGATCGGAATTCTTTCTCTATCCTCTTTATTTCTTCCCTAGTAATCCATTTTTCTACTTCCTTTCTCTTTTTTTTAGAAAAAAATTTAAAGATTTATTTTTTGTATATGAACACTCTGTTTTCATGTACACCAGAAGAGGGAAGCAGATTCCATTACAGATGGTTGTGAGCCACCATGTGGTTGCTAGGAATTGAACTCAGCCAGAGAGGTGGCTCAGTGGCTAAGAGCACTGTCTGCTCTTCCAGAGGTCCTGAGTTCAATTTCCAGCAACCACATGGTGGCTCACAACCATCTATACTGGGATCTAATGTCCTCTTCTGGTGTGCAGGTGTACATGTAGATAGAACATTCATCTACATTAAATAAATAAATAAACCTTTAAAAAAAGAGTTCTTGTTTACTCTTTCTATCTTGATGCTGTTTATTATTATTACTTACTGAAATACTGGAAATCAAACTCACTCTATAACGAACTATGTCGCTATCCCTAGTGTCTTTAAAATGTTATGTTTAATTACATAAGACATGTATATATGAAACATGGAGAGTATTATTTGAATTTCATGTAATAATTAATAAAATTATATTAAAAATGTAATATTTATCACTGCCAAAAAAAGTGGTACTTTTAATAGCTTCTTGCTGACACAATAATTGGAGAAAATATGAAACTTCAATTAGAAATTAGTAAAATTAAAGTTGTAATTTTTCCTCATTGTTCACAAGCCCGTGCTCTAAATTTATTTTTATTCCTTCAGATACTTGCAAGGAAGCCAGATGCAATTATCAGCATCTCAAGAGACTTAGTCTTTGAAGAAAGTACAGCTTAGGGCTGTTTCCATATTTAGCCCTTAATGCTTTTCAAGACCTTAAAATAAGCAAGTGGTTAATGGAAGAGTGGTACTTGTCAATCTCTCTTGCATTAGGAACTTGGCTTGTTGTTACCACTTTCTGATTATTGATTAAACAGGGTGTGTGTGTGTGTGTGTGTGTGTGTGTGTGTAATTTTTTTTTACAATTTATTCATTTTATATCCCAATTGTAGCCTCCTCCCTCATCTCCTTCTAGTTCCACCCTCCCTCCCTCTTACTCCCTATCCTCTTCTCCTAGTCCACTGAAAGGGGGAGTCCTTCTCCCCTGCCCTCTGACCCTAGCTTATGCAGTCTCATCAGGCCTGCCTGGATCCTCTTTCTTCTGTGGCCTGGCAAGGCTGTATCAGAAGGAAGAGTGATCTAAGAGCAGGCAACAGAGTTCATGTCAAAGACAGCCCCTGTTCCCCTTACCTTAGGAATCCACATGAAGATTGAGCTGCCTATGGGCTACATCTGAGCAGGGGATCAAGGTCCTCTCCATACATGCATGGTCCTTTGTTGGTACATCCGTCTCTGCAGGACGGATGGACCCAGATTTTTTACTTTGTTGATCTCCTTGTAGAGCTCCAGAAACAGTTTTGTTGTTGTTGTTGTTTTCTTTTGTCCCTCAACTGAAAAATGGATGCAGAAATTGTGTTACATTTACACAATGGAATAATACTCAGCAATTAAAAATAAGGAAATCATGAAATTTGCAGGCAAATGGTGGAAACTAGAAAAGATCATCCTGAGTAAGGTAACCCTGAAGCAGAAAGACACATATGGTATATACTCACTTCACTTATAAGTGGATATTAGCCATATAATATAGGATAAACATACTAACATCTATAGTCCTAAAGAAGCTAAACAACAAAGAGGACCCTAGGACCCTGAAACCTCACTCAGAAGGGCAAACAGGATAGACATTGGAAGTAGAAGACAAAGAACAGGACAGGAACCTTCCACAGGGGTCCTCTGAAAGACTCTACCCATCAGGGTATCAAAGGAGACACTGAGACTCATAGCCAAACTTTGGGCAGAGTGCAGGAAACCTTATGGAAGAAGAGGGAGATAGATCTGGGGAGGACAGGAACTCCACAAGGAGACTTACAAAGCCAAAAAACCTAGGTCCAGGGAGGCCTGCGGAGACTGATACTCCAACTAAGGACCATACTTGGAGAGGACCTAGAACCCCTGTTCATAGGAAGCTCATAGGCTGTTCAGTTTCCTAGTAAGGGGTACAGAGGCTGGTGGGGGGGAAGGCAGCCTTGTCAGGCCAAGAAGATGATGAAGCCAGCCCTGATGAGACTTGACATGCTAGGGTCAAATAGAAAGGAAGGAGGACCTACCCTATCAGTGGACTAGGGGAGGGGCATAGGGGGAGAACAGGAAGGGAGGGCAGGGTTGGGAGGAGGAGATGGAGGGGGCTACAGCTGGGATATAAAGTGAATAAATTGTAGTAAATAAATAAATAAATATGCTCACTTAATCCTTAATCACTTTACTTTCAGTTCACATTAGAGTATTCTAGTGGTAATAAACACTCTGGTTATGTGTTGCCTTTTAGTGTTTGCAGAAAATAAAACTTGTATCACAGGTCCTCGCAGTATTTACTTCTGCTTTATGAACTACTGTTGCCTAGTCAGATCTGCATGGTGATTTTTATTTACTTTTTATTGTAAGTATGCAACAAGAAGTTTACCACTTTGGTCAGTTTTCAAGTGTGTATTTCTGGCAATTGTTATCTATAGTGCTTCCCTGCCCTTACTCCATTTCCTGAATTTCATATCACACAAATAGCACCTCTAATCATTTAGCAATAATACCCATACTTCATTCAGCCAATCCCACTAGCCCCTCATCTTTCTGTCTATAAATCTGCTTCTGATCAATATTGTATAAAATGTAATTATATAATATGTATTCTTAGTGTCTGCCTTTTCCCTATTAGCATAGTGTTTTCAAGTTCCATCTGTGTTTTACAGAGTGTTCTTTTTATAGCCGGGTAAGACTCCAGCCTACATGGGTACCACATTTCATTTACTCCTTCATCTGCTGGAGGACAGCTTGGACTGTTTGTGCCTTTGAGTCTTGTGAATAATGCCACTGGAAACTTGGTTATGTATGTGTCTGAGTCCCTGTTTTCAGGGGTCGTGGAATTGTTGGGTCATGTAACAACTCAGTATTTAATGTATTGATGACTGTGATCCTTGTTTTACAATAGTTCATTCTGGGTTTTTTTTTTTTTTACCCTTTTGTTAATGTTATTTTTTTTTTAATTTTTTGCTTATTACCTTGCTTGGCTTTTGTTGCTTGAGTTTGAAATAATCGTTTGCTTTGGTCATTCATTTTTTTCTATCCTTTTCAATTGTTTGTTTTTCAGACCCGAATCAGAACTCCGTCACAGGGGAGCACAGCCAGCTGTTAGGTATAGTATTGCTCTGGGGAGTGGCTCTCTAAAGTCACCTTACCTGTTTGGACTGACAGACATTACTTTTTCCCCTTTTTGTTGTTTTTTCATTTTGCTTTTCCCCCCTCAAGTCTATCGCTGATTATTTCCAACTTGCTAAGCTATAGGAAGCTGCTTTTGTAACTAATTACTAAAACTCAGAAAGTAATTTTACATAGTTTGTACCAAAAAAAAAAAATCTTAGAACTTCTTTTTCCAGGATAATATTGAAAAGAAGACATTATCCTCCACACATGTGCTGTGGCAGTTTTGCCCACAAACACATCATGCACACACACGGTAATTATTTAAATGTTAGATTAAGGGATAAAGAGATGGCTCAGTGGTTAAGAGCATTGGCTGTTCTTCCATAGTACCCTGATTCAATTCCCAGAACCCACGTGGTAGCTCAACTGTCTGGAATTCCTGTTCCAGGGAATCTGACACTCTCACACAGACATACATGCAGTCAAAGCACTGATGTATATAAAATTAAAATAGATTTTTTTTAAAAACCTTACATTAAAATGGGTCAGTGAGATAGCTAATCAAGTAAAGCTGCTTGCCACACAAGCCTGGTGACCTGAGTTTGGTCCTCAGGACCCATGTACAGGGGAAAGGGAAGGAGAGAACGAACTCCACAAAGTGGCCTCTTACCTCCACACTTACAGTGTGGCACATGCACACACACTCCATAATAAGATTAAAATGTTATGTAATATCTTAGACTTTACAGATAGTCTTCTCTTTTATTGTTTGTGTTGGTGTTGAGTCCCGTTTTAATTGCTGGAAGCCATTCAGTTGCTGTGAGGTGCTCACCTGGTTAAGCACTTGCCTGACAATCTGAGTTTGAGTCCTGGGGCCTGCATAGCAGGAAAGGACTGGCTCTATCAGGTTGTCCTCTGACCGTCACAGTGCAGCATGTGAGCATCCACCACCGCCCACAAACAAACAAGTAAATACATAACAAAATGTCAGTACTGAAAGCCTTCATAGGCAACATGACCTTTAATAACCATAAAAATGATAGTCCCGTTTCTTACCTATGAAGCAAGTTATAGAGGTGAATTGATTTCCTCTAGGACAAGATTTTAATAAGTTGTCATCACTTGTAGATTTCAAAATACACATTTACAACTTGGACTCCTTTCTGTAAACACTGCAATAAGGAATCCAAGCAGTACAAAAGACCAGCATTAAAAAAGCAAATCCTTTAAAGGGTTCCTTCTCTCTACCACCTCAACTCTACTTCCCCAAGTACTTAATTCTGACTGCTTATTAGGAACTTCAGAATTTTTTATTTATACCAGTTCATGTTATATATGATTTTTTTCCTTTTTATGTTAATGGTGTTTTATTACTCAGATGGCCTTTTATCATGTAGTGTTTTGCCTTGGTATCTCACATCAGTGCATAAAGATCTACTTCATCCCTTTATTTAGAATGCAGTGGGGTTTTGTAGTCACTGCAGCTTTACTCAGCCACTTCCCCCTCTTTATGAGCATTTATGTTGTCTCTAGAACACTGATAAAGAAATTATCATGAAGATGAGCATGAAGATGGCTCATCTGGTTAAGAACACTGGCTGTTCTTTCTGAGGACCTGAGTTCAATTCCAAGCAGCTCACATGGCAGCTCCCAACCGTCTATAACTTCATATCCAGGGACTCCACCACCGCCTTCTGGCCTGTGTATGCACTGTATGCATGTGCACACAGACAACATGCAAGCAGAACACACCCATACACATACATTTTTTAAAAATAGAAATTATGTTGCAATGAGCATCTTGTACTTGCATCTGTGCAGTCAAAGTTATCAGTACTTTTGTAGGCAAACTTTTCTCAAAGGGTTTATACATTTTCAACACGATAAATTACCATAAACTCCCACTGATCTGGGTATGGAATGCTTGGTTCTCTGTTACCAAAAACTGATGTTATTTTTGAAGATTTATTTACTTAGTTACTTATTTTATATGGGACTGATGTGCCGGCCATAGCATGTATGTGGAGGTCAGATGACAGCTTTCAGGCATCAGTCTCTGCTTCCTCTGTGTGTTGTAGATATTGAACTCAGCTTGTCAGGCTTGATGGCAAGTGCCTGCTGAGCCAGCTCTCCAGCCCAAATTGATATTAATCTTTTTTTTTTTTTACATTTACTAGTAGGTAAAATGTCATTTCTAGTTTGTTTTATACTTATTTAATTATGGGTGAGAATAAGAACTTTATTGTTGCATTGTATGGTGGTATGAATGAATTTGTACACTGCTGAGTTTTTGGCTATTAGAATATACAATAGCAGCTGTGGAAAATGTGTTCTCAGAAAGTCCACAATAGGGAAAGAACTTGATATGACTTGTTTGTTTACAGAAAAGCTCTAGAGAATTGAAGAAACTGGGCATGCATGCATGCTTGCTTTCTGCCTGTCTGTCTATCTATCATCTCATGGTAGCACATTCCTGTAATCCCACCATGTGGGAAACACAGGCAAGATCAAGATTACAAGCCCAGCCTGGGATACATGAGCCCTTGTCTCAATTTTTTTTTTCTCCCCTGAATTGTGAAATAGCCGAGACAGGCTCCACACTCTGAGACTAGTTTGTTATCTATGCAGTGGAGATAGGGGAGGACCTTCACAAGTAAAATAGACAGGTAAGAATCTGTATACTTAAAATTAAATTTGCACTGAAGTAGAGAAAGACTATATTTTGTAATTTTTTTTTTCACAATTGCCCCACCTTTCAGGACAGGGGATGTAATTCAGTGATACAATACTAACGTGGCAAGCACCAGATAGTGGGCTAATCTCAGTGCCTCAATAAACAAATTCCAGCACCTCAAAATACAAACCCCTAACACCTGAAATGCACCACTCCCCCAGGTCTTTCTAAGAAGCTCCTGTGGGTAGGTTTGCCCGGCAGGGAACACTGGCTCAATTGTTTTGCCTGATGAATTCAATTTATAATAACATCTTTCAGACTTTTCCTGCCAAATGTGATTTAAAACAGCATCTTCCAGAGCTGCTAAGTGGTGCTCCTTCCAAAGGGCTACAGTTATTTTTATGTATTTACTGTTCCCACTGACTCATCAGCCTGCTTGCAAAACTCAGGGTCAGGCTGAGGTAATGTATGGGAGGTGAAACTGCTTCTGTGATAACAAACCAAAGTCTGTACTTGACAATTTATGAACTTTCCCCTATGTGTATGTGTGTGATTTTCGATTTCAAAGATTTTAGAAAGTAAGCAGTCAAACATCAGTGAGTCATACAGATTTTATTAAACATACAAAGATAAAAACTCCAGTCTTATACAATTTCTTTTGTAGCATAGGAAACCAAATATACACTGTTAAATAAGTTTGAATCTTTTGTAGCCTTAATCCCAAACTTAACAGTGGCAATATGAGGAAAGCATTGTCCAGCCCAAAATATTTGTAATCTGAATCATGAAGTATTTTTTATTTTAGTTTAAATATATTACTTGTATTACTTTTTAAAGAATTTCATGCATGCATACAATTCTGGGATGACAGGTAGTTTTGATTTCCATTATATTCACCCCAATACTCTCCTAGCTCCTCCCAAATCCATTCCCATTCCACTTTTTCTAAAGTTTCTTTTCTTTTCTTTTTTTTTTTTTTAAACAACAACCCACTGAGTCGAGTTTGCAAGGCCCACATACTCATGGATGTTAAGCCATCCAGTGTAGTGTGGTTGAACTACCAGGGGCCATACTGTTAAAGAAAGGTATCTCCCTCTCCCAGCAGCATCACCTGTTAGTAGCTGTTCAGCAATGGATTGGGGCTTTCCAACACGTCTCCCCTCAATGCTGGAATGTTGGCCAGATTGACCTTGTGCAGGTCTTCTTGCATGTAGCTGTTTTTAAGATTAACATCACAAGCTGGGGTTTGGCTTAGTGTTGATCCACCATGCATTAGGCCCTGGTTTCAATCCCCAATGCCTCAACAATAAACAAATACCATTATCAAGTTGCTAAAAATTCATGACAGGCTTTATATAAAAAATGAATTTATTTCCCTGTCATGGTGATTCAGACCTGTTATCCCAGTACTTACGAAGATGAGACATGAGGAACATGAACTTGAGGTTAACCTGAGCATAGACCCTACCTCAAAAAATAAACAAATAAACATAAAGTTATATACTTCTTACATTAGTAATGAAGAAATATATAATTGTTTCAATACAGGTAGATGGAGCATTTTGATAGGAAATTTAAAACTAGTTGTTCATAGCTAGAGTTTTCTTGTGATCCTACTCATTAACTCCTCAGTGAGGGAGAAGAATAGATTATCTGTTTTATATTTAACTGAACCACTTGAGAGCCAACTAGGAACTAGGTTCTCTTGTTTGAAGTATGTACCAAATGAAGACTAAAAGGAATGAGGTTATCATCACATTTTACTCCTCATAAGATCACAGAATCCGTGCATTAACCATCAGTGGTTAATATCTCAAAAAGATAGCCAGACATGGCAAAGTATCACAGTGCAATTATGCAGGAGTTCTTTTTCTCTCCCCCAAAACAACAGATGTATGATTAAACCTCTAGAGTCAGCTGTCAACCAATTCATAGGAACTACAATAAACAAAATGTCACATGGCATCACACTGATGTCATCATCAAAATCCAGTTCTTCAGAAACTCTAGGACACGTGACATGATTTCTTGAAGAGAAAGAAAGAAAACTATAGCTGGAAGAAATAAAGTAGTCAGTTGTAATGTGCTCCTGTCTGACTGCGGATTCAAACAATATAGATCAAAAGCATTACATAGAAGGCTTTAATATAGCTCAGTGTTGGCTTGCTTCCTTAGCATGCATGAGTGCCCATAATGATCTTCTTATGGTTCAGTCCTCATCACTGCAGAAATAAACAAGCAAACAAGCCAACCTATGAACCTCTTTTGCACCCTTTTCTCATTAATTAAAACCTATATCCACCATATTTCTCAGAATA